GTAAATCCTTCTTATATTATTGTATAAACTAACTTTCTTTAATTTCATATGTTAAAGTCAAGATTAAAATATTTTGCACCACCCGGACCTTAAAACGTAGGGGGGCCTTTTCTTATACGGGCCGGACCTTTTCTTACAAAAGGCGGACCTAATATGTTATCGTATTTGGTCCGGCCGGACCTTTAAACGAGGCGGACCAAATATTATGCGACACCGGTCACACCAGCTGTGTGCTCCATTTTCGGGAAATATCGAGAAAATCCGTGGACATTCAGTGTGTATATAATGGCCTACCAACTAGTATGAAAACGTCAGTCATTATTTGACTTAATGATAAATTGTATTTGCTGACAAGGTCATTCTATCGACCATTGGACATACGAATTGCTACTTAAAACGAGACTGCTGCTATTTTTTCATCAACTTGTTTGTCAATGATTTAGAAATTGTTCATACGTAGAGCATGCTCTTGTTCATCGAATCAACTGAGAGATATAAACCCTACATACGTTATTAAAACAAAGGTAAATACAATTCATTTGAACCCAAATTAAACTATTGAAAAAGGGACACTTTTAATAATTTATACCTATCTTTTGAACTTGGATCAAATCATTAAAAAATTATATTAATTCAAACCCTTCCTTTATTCTTAAGACATCCTTTTAAATTCATTTGAAAGTACTACGTTCAATTATTTGAAAAGAGGTTTATTTGTTTAAAAAATTGACATTTTTATAATTTTTATTGCCCAACACATACATCTTATAGCATTAAGTATATATAACATATATCAAAAGTACATGAAGTTGCTTGAAATGGTAATTAGACAAAAATGATTTTGAGACACTTTCACATACTTCAAAAAATTGCACTTTTAATGTAAAAACCAAAAAAATTTCTTAATGTATCCTGTCTATTTTTTTTTACACTTTTTAGTATATGAAAATTTGTTAATTCTTGATATTCCATTAAAGTTAACGTTTATAAACACACACACCACCGTTCCATTACATGCATATAATATATATCGATGTCTATTATTACTAAATTGTATACGAAAATTTTTATATCGTATATGAAAATTTGTTAATTCAAATTGATATTCCATTAATAGTTAACGTTTATAAACACACACACCACCGAATTCCATATACATGTACATATGATAGTCTATATCGTTTATCGTCTTCCAGTTATTTAGGTTTTTTGCTCTGGGAGACCCGAAATAAGTGTCAGATCAAAAAGTAAAATAAAAAGTAACAATTCACAATATATTTGTATATTAAATCTTATTCAAGAAACAGATGGATATACCTTTCATATTACAAAGAATGGCAGTATATCAAGCCCGAAACACGTGCACTTTGGTACTTCCGATTCTGTGAAAGAAATTTTTATGCATTCAGTTAGTTTGAATATAAAAAATTCCATGGATGTTCAAGGGAATATACCTTGTTTTTCCAGTGGTGGTATAATAAGTCACGTTTACAATGAAAAAACAACGAAGAGTGAATTTGTAATAGTGTTTAAAAGGGTATTCGGAACTGGTAAAATAAGAGCACGAAAATATTTCAATATCTTACAGTGTTCTTAATATTTATTTTTGACAAATTTTTAGTATATGTTAGAGTACATATCAAACTTACTTTTGATACCTGGAACGTTGTTTTATGTGAAAAATTAATGTATCTACAGAGGTTTTTCTGCAGACTTACGCGTCGCGGTGATTCAGATTTTGCGTTGTAAACGTATGTCGACTGTTTCAATACGATAACGTTCAAAACTTCACATTTCAAACAATATTCTTACCATATTTATTTTTACACCGTTGAATTTATTAATTATAAGTCCTTAAATTACTAATTATTCGGAACTGGCCAAAATCCGGAACTGGCCAAACGACTGTATTTGTATATTACTCTAAAGAAACAGATGGCGTGATGATTCGGGCTTATCAAAAACACGTCCAGTTTCCGAAGGAAATTTTTATGCAGTAAGTTTGAATAAAAAATTCCATGGATGTTCAAGGGAAATCCGGGTCGTCTGAAATTTACATCGGGGGAAGCGGGACGTTAACATTTCATGCAGATGGTTCCTTTTATACAACTCTATCGAAATGAGGCACATTTTTTAAAATCCGTTAGTTTAAAATATATTTTACTCATTAAGAAATGGATTGAACAGCAGGCATGAATGCCTATAATCGTTCTCTCCATTAGTCAAGGTACAATTACAAGAGAGAGAGAGAGAGAGAGAGAGAGAGAGAGAGAGAGAGAGAGAGAGAGAGAGAGAGAGAGAGAGAGAGAGAGAGAGAGATAGAAAAAAATTAACAAATGGATAGGAAAAATAATCATTATATAATCAAATATAAACAACAAAAAAGGGGAAAAAAATCCGTTCTATAAAGGATAAACAGGTTTTCATAAGGTAATTTGGAAGAAGATCATATGGCAATTAATTTGATTATCCTACTAGTTAAGAAATACTTATTTCAGCAATCAAGAAAAAAAAACAATAATATTGTTTTTAATGAAATCTTAAAATATTTAAATAATTACTATTGTTTAGAAGAAAAATTGTCAGGAAATATATTTTACAAAAATAGATGGTCCAAGTGGAAGTGTCTTTTTAATGTGTCTAATAGTAACTCTTAATATAATTACTGATTGAATATCCATTGCATATTGCGTAAGTTTATGTTTATGTACATGTATATTATACGTATATTGAAGTGTATCTACCCTTATGTATGTATACTAGATGTTTATAAATGTGTGTGTATTTGTATTTTTCCAACAGGTATGAGAGTGGGAGAGAGAGGTGTATATGTCTTGCAATTACTTAAATAAAAAAAAGAAAAAAGAAAAGGGTTTTCATAAGCATTTTAGTATGATTTTACTGAAGGAAGCAGATGAAAAGCTGTTTGTTTAATTGTTTTTTAACGATCCCTTTCGAGAATTTTTCACTCATATCGAGACTCCACCACTTGACGGTAAGGGCCTGCTTTAAACCTACCTATACTCGGCACTCAGGGCCATTAAGATGTGAACTGTCTTTTTTCGTGTCAGCTTCGGGACCTTGATTTTTACGGTCTCCTCCGAAGAAACGGTCTCAACGTCCCGCAGTGGGAGAAGAAAAAGGTGAAGATAACTAATTGCCATGTACCTTAAAAGAAGTGTACAAACAAAATAAATCTGTAGGTAATCATAACAGGGCATAAAACACAGACCAGTATCCTGTTGATCAATCACATCCGCTGTGGATCTTTTCTGTTGTAAATAGGTAGCTGAATATTCCGTAGCGAACAAAGGCTTTACAATTGGTAAGAAACATGTCGACCAAATAACGATCCAAGAAAAATTTACATTAATTATGTTAACAGGGTCTTTATAACGACCAAATGATATACACAATGCTGACTTGAAACTGTTTTTTTAAATCCCTGTAACATCAACTTGTCTGTATGAAATATAAAGAATTATAGTCCTTGGTGTAAAAATTGAACTTTGGTTTGCGCTTATAAACAAAATTTGCATTTTTAAGTTGAGAGACGTAAACATCATTTAGGGGTACTTAACACGAACAAAAAAAAATAATACATGGATTGATCTATATTTTTGAGTGTTTTTGATTTGAAATGGCATAAATAATACATCACTGAAATATAAAGAAATTATAGGTTTCCTTGATGCTTAGATATGAGACTTTGTTTTGCTTTCTATATAATTCCATACAAAATTTTGCACAAATTTTTAACCTTATGATAAAACCTTAAAATATTCTCCCACTATACTTGGTAAACATCATTCAGATTACCAGTTTAAATATAAATCTATGAGAAATATTGCTGGTTCCTAAAAAAAAAAAAGTTTGTGTTATTTATCGTTAAATGTGATAGTAGAATGTTACAAGTACAAGCTAATAAAGAAGATTAACGATGGAAAAGTTGAGGTCATGTCGGATTTCAGACAATTTAGTTGCTATTTGGTCCTTATTTTCCATAGTCAGTGAAACAGCCAAAGTTAAAACATATATGAGGCTGATTCCGCGATGTTTTTTTTTTATTTCAAGTTCACTGGAAAATACCCAAGTATCTAGTCACTATGATTATGAATGAAGTAACTTTTTTAATTGATAAAACATCGTCGAAAACATGTTTATCTGAAAGCGGGTCTGAAATCCTGAACCGGTGCTTTCTTCTCGTGAAGATTTGTTTTTAATTATTTACAAGAAAGTCTGGAAATATATACAGGTGGGTTAATATAGGAGCACATAGAGTACCCATCGGACATTTAACAAATTTAATTTGGTGTTCCATAGTTGACACTTACACAAAAACTTACAAAAAATCTATAACAGCCTGCTTCGTGTATTTATCATCTTCCACTGAAGCAAACCTCCTGTGCGATATGTAGATAAAACTTCCTATAAAATGATGATTTGATGTGATTTCGACTTTACCAAGCACACGTCAAGTTTCCGATAGGACTTTCCAGATCACAACTAATAAATGCATCAGTGGATGGTACTCTGGAATATCGCTGGGAGCCCCAATTTTACATTAGTTTAGGAGGAATACAAGTTCTTAAATACATTTACATCTACAATTAAGATTTCAGCAGGCTGAGCAAGTTATTATATTTTTAGATGAAATTTAAAATGTTCTTCAAACTTATCATATTGGACCTTTTTACATTTTTTTTTACATTTTTTTAATTATTGAGTTCTTTTGCCAGCTGTTTTCAATAGATCCTTTTCTCTGTTTAACGACCCGGACCAATTATTCTTTACATGGGAGACTTGTACCCGGAAGTTTAAGCTTTGATGTTTGACAATGCTTAATCGTGTCCTTATTGTTCAAACTATCAAAGAAATAAAAGCAAACATTTATATTTTTATGGTAAGATTTATTTACTATACGAATCAAAACAAAATTAAGACGTTGTATATAACAATCATGTATATATCCGACTCCAAAACAATAAGCCTTGCACACGTTTATCTAACACTTGAATTTCCACACTGTTCCCGTAGACATGCCACTGTTTTCCTTGAGACAGTTTTCCGGAAGTGGACACTGATAAAGACTGACCAGATTTCTCCTCAGAGGATGGCTGACCAGTGGTAGACGCCCAGGGTCGCCCACTAACACCTCTATCCCTCCCTGGGACAGCTGGGGTAACCAGACGCTAAATCTGTCCGTGAAATTCTCATCATAAAACATGTCACCTAGAAACACAATGTCCCAGCCACGCAAGTTGCTGCCTATGATGTCATCTGATGACGTATCCACGCAGACTCTATTCAGATCACAGTTCATTTTTATTGCCTCTATGGCCACTAATAGTAAAAAAAAAGTAATATAATAATATCACTATGCAATTCAATTTTGTATAATAATTTAGTTATCTTGAATAAAAACCATCCTCCATTTTCAATTCATTACTAATTAATGTATAAAATGTAATATATGCATTAAAATACACTTGAAATATAGTACTAAAGTGGAACTTTGAGCTATGATAAATTCTGCTTAAATCAGAGGCCGTTAAATGATTGAGTTGAAAAGATACGGAAATAAAACCTCTCTTCTCTAGGGTAATATTTTAACCAACGCTATAAAAGAGATGAAAGGAAAGGAAGTTAAAACAGTTTTTTCACCGTGGTCTATGTCGTTAGCACAGACTGTGTGAGCGCCGGACATCTTACTGGCGATAGCGGAAGCCCCGCATCCACTCCCGATATCAAGGACTCTCTTGTCAGTAAACAGACGTGGATTGTCTAGGACAAACCTACAAATCACAAGATACAGGCTTACTCATCGCCAATATGAAGAGCCTGCCACCCTTCAACATGGTAAGTCACAATTTTCGACAATCGTTGATACTATATAATACTTTAATATTTCTTCTAAGCTACTAGATTATAAAATATAGACGAAATGCATGAATTAACAATTTCTATTCACATTTTTCCTTTAAAATTTCACTATAACTCACGTAACAACGATATATACATGTAAGGTTTTGATACGTTGATACTTGAAATGTAAGAGTTTGTGATGTAATATTTGATAGTAAAACTTACAAAATACTTCAATAAATTTATGAGATTTTACGGAAGTTAAAATGATATCGGTGATAAATATGGATCGTGTTACTTTTTAAGTAAATTACGATCCCTCATAAAATAAACCTTGATAACACTTGTCCTCCCGGCCAGTAGAAAGCCCAGAATGGATCAGTAAACGGTGCGTCTTCTCCTCTGCTGTGCCATAGTGCACATTTTGGCGTGATTAAATGAAGCTGTATCTCCGGAGTCATGTGATCTGATGTCACTTCCGTGTGTGTTCGAATAAGTTGTCGCACCTGTTCAAAGGTTACAGAATTGGAACAGAAGCATCTTGCGACGGTTTGAATTCGTGTAAAACTGTGGCCAAAGATGACTGATGTCAGTTTCAGGGGCATTCTGGCGCGTTTTCCATATCAGCTACATATATTACTGTAATCAAATCTTCTGTAACGAAAAAGTTAAGAAATTTAAAATCAACGTGCAAGCATTTATATGAGTTTGAGTTAATGTGTCATAGCCACCGCACACAGAGAAAGTTTTAAGTTTGGAGCAAAATAACCTTACCTGAGGCCATATGGGAATTAATTTGAAACAACTCGTGTGTGTGAACTGACGTACTTGATGACAATGCTGTTATGTGTTGAATGTAAATGTTTTGGTTGTCCCTAAATCTATTTTCATCCTTGGACGCTTTGTAATATCCGTTCAGTAAGTACGGGGGCTCGTGAGATCATTAGACTTACATATACTTGAACTGAAAAGGATGATTAGTGAACTTTAACTGAATTTACCTACATTTCGCCATGTTTAATGTCATCTCGCATAGGTAAGTTTTAAACAGAGAAATGGCGACAGGTAAACGCGACACGAATGTAATATTTTAGTCTTGTATAAAGCTGGTCCTGTGTATAGTATAATAAATATAAACTAGACAAGTAAGTCCATGTCGTGGTTAGTCAAGAAGGAAGTTGGACACATGGATTACAGTTGTTCTTTACACGTAATTGGTGGGGCGATTAAATCGATCAAATTCCAGGGTAAAATGAGGAAAAATATGACAATAAAATGTTTGTATTTGTGAAAAATTTGCTTTGGCATGTTAATTCTGATTACACTATAGATGTCTTTATTAATGTTTTCCTATTGAAGTTGAGAAGTTTATTCAAGTTATTAATAAGAACTTTATTGGAAGACTGGGAAGGCACATATATTCAATGGCGAATCTTAATTACAATATGTACTCCCAGTATCATACATTTATATCAAGACATGTATTAGACTATTGAATGATGAAATAGCCTTGATAGTTCATAGGATTGTAGCTTATATGTACATAGGTATTCAGTTTGTAAAGAAGTAATTTATTGAAACCTTCACTTTAAAATCGCAATTTTTAGCATTGATACACGTATATCTGGCCTTTATTTTACTGCGTTTGGAATGTACTTGTTTTTATAATCATGTTTCACACGTGGTAAATGAAATGAGTTAATACTTTTAAGAATTTGTCACCAGCACCTTATATATTGTACTGTACATGCCACATATATGTTAATGTAATATTGAATGATAAAATTCTTATAATTTGTGGGATATTGGATTTGTGTAGATGTGTTTATGTCATTCGAATTAAACCAGAACCATGAATTCGACATCTTTAAGTTTGTGATCTCATCAATTAATTCATAAAGCTTTAAAAAGTATAGCTTATTTACCTTTCCAATTTGATCCGCTCCCCAACAAAATCCAGACACTGAGACACTGAGACAGGAAAAAAATGCAAGATTGTATAATACGAAAATATAAAATTTCCCCGTCACAATATATCGTTATATGCCCTTCTGTACTTTTTAAAAATACACAAGTATTGTAAACAAACGATTGTTTTTCAAGGCAATAACAGCCTATCATAATTTTGACACTCTGTCTGGGAGATGTTCTTTTACTAGTCTCTTAAACCTAAACCCCGCCATTGATGGTTAATATGCCGTAATCGGACGATTTATTAATCGGATACATAAAATTTTCTCCATTGGCAGCGTTAAAGGAGGTTTTGGAGCTGCTTTTCTGTTTCGCCTTATCTGATTGGTTGATTGTAATACAGTTTATATATCTAACCAATCAGATAAGGCGAAACAGAAAAGCAGCTCCAAAACCTCCTTTAACGCTGCCAATGGATTTTATGTATCCGATCCGGCCATATCCTGTTTTTTGTTTCTAATTATAAGAAAAAATTGTGTATATAACGATATATCAGTTTCCTTACATTTTTTTCATGTGTAGCTACTTCAGGTGCCTGTGGGCAGGCGTCACAATGCCCTCTGTACTTTTTGTATCGATTGTTTCATGCAAAAGAAACGGCCATCTGTCTTCAAAATGCGCAAATGTCATAAATAAGAGATTCATCCGGCCATATCCTGTTTTAAAATAAGAAAAAATTGTGTAAATCAGTTTCCCGTGTGTAGCTGTATGGCCATGGGCGGATCAAAGATATTGAATATCAATAAAAATTGACCAAACAGTATTTCATCATTTTATTAAACAACAAGCACACTGTTTTAGCTCATATGATAAGCATTATGTACGAATTTTAGAAAAAAAAAATCTAAAAACTATAAGGCAAATAATTTTATGTATGTTGTGTTACTAGATCCATCACAGAAATGTTAAAGAACAAAAAGTCCGTTAAGCAGTCCTCAATAACTACCTCTGACGACATGGTGGCTCACTCCCCCCTGAGATCCCCCACTGAGGTTAACAAACTCCTGTGGTACACCTTCAATACACTAGTGGACTCGCATGACGGCACCGCCCACATTTCAACGCTGAAGGTGACTGTAATTTATAACTTAGCAAGTGATGTATGTTTACTTATAAATTGATGTTTTTTTCTTGGAGCTCAAAGTAAATGAGCGTTTATTTATAAGTGCACGTTTTATGTGATCTTGGTAACTGTCGTTAGATAAATGTTACGGTAAATGCATACTGGAAACTGTATTTTTCGTCTAAAAAAAATTATTGAATTTTATCTATCCATTTGATATGTTAAGAGTGATTCATTCAACACAAATTTGATATGAAATCTGCACCATTTGCAAAAATCTAAAAGATTGAATTGTTGAATAACATACACCACTTAAAACGCAAAATGGATCATTTAAAAAAAATATCTAGGAAATATCATTTAGATACAGAACTCATTAAAAGAAAAAAAAATGAATATTGTATTCTGTAATTTAATAAACTTTCTTCATTTTTTTTTTCATTTCAAAGCATATTCATTATTCAATCACACAAAGTTGATTTTTCCCATACCACTCCATTCTAAAGTGCAAGTTCTTTTCTCTTTACAGGTGCTGATTTCAAGTCTTGGTAGAGTTCTTGGGTTTGAAAAATCAGAAGAACTTCTGAATATTGAGGGACGGAATAATATAGACTTTCCTTTACTGTGTAAAATTATTGATAAAGAACTTCTACAAGTCAATTCGAATACTCCCCCGAAAGGAAATTCCGAGGACCCTACTGAACTATATACTGTCTGTTGGAATATTTACTATGATCACCACTACACGAAGTCCGATTTTAACCTTTATAAGTCTGATGAACAAAATCTATTCAAAATGTGGATGTTATTCATCCTGTTGTCTGAAGATGCTGAAAATGATGTTCCGAACGGACCACCAGTCATCGATCGTGAAGAAATGGGAATCCTCTTCCGGTCTTTTGTATCTTTATCCGGACTCACAGAATTAGAGGACAAGATTCAAGAAGTGGAATCCGCCACAGGAAATTTGAAATTCATTGAATATAAGGATGTATTTATTGGATTGTTTGGCTCGAAACTCTCAGAAAGTGATTTTAAATTTTACCTCACAAAAATTTACGAGCTTTACATCGATGACATTTTTCAAAAGGTACCAACTAAATGCATATACATGTATGTACAAAGGTCTATGCACATGTAAATAGCATGTTTAATTTTTAAAGATTAAATTGTACCTCTATTTGAACGCTACAAGGCACTGGAAAACTACAAATTAAGATATTTTTATTTGATTACTTTAAGATTACATGTATTATTTTTTCAGTCTTTTAAATAACGCTGTGTCATGTATTCTTACTTTTTGAAATCAATTTCCTATTTACACGTGATAAGTTGTTCAAATTTTCCTGGTTTGTTCCTATAGGGCATGCTGTGTAAGAGAGGTTATCAGGTGAAGAACTGGAAAGATCGCTGGTTTGTCCTCAGAAAGAAGACCCTGAAATACTTCCCTAACTCACAAGAGAAGGAACTCAAAGGCTGTATCAACATTGCCAAGGACTGTAGAATAGAGGTCAAGCACCAGTAGTTTTCACTGACATTGTTTAATCAAAAAATATTCCCTGTTTATATGCTTTTCCACATTAATGACAGGTTTTCAATATGATTTAAAATAATTCAAGAAATAACATAGATTTTGAGTGATCTACCAATAATATCAAAGCAATAAAACAACTGAGTTTCCTTGTACAATAACAGGTTGTGTCAGATAAGGGCGGATCCAAGCCAAACCGATTCATCATCCACACCAGTTCCAAACCTTACGAATGTAGTGCAGCTGACACCCGTACACGGTCAGAATGGGTTACGGGTTAGTATTAAATACATGTGTTAAGAGAATTGCTAGTGGTTTGGACTCACCGTAGTGATACAACAAACACTCGCATCACTATGGACTGTAAAAAAAATTATACAAGTAGACTATACATGTATAATTACATCTCTTACATGTATACCAAGTTAGTGCGGAGTGCACAACACTCTGAAGTCTACATTATTAAACGTAACGCAATAGACGATTGTAAGACCTTTTTCATTGTTCTACAGTACTAAATCTTGCCATCAGTAAATGTGAGGACCCTGAATTCCACTACCACAAACACCAGTCCAAACAGCGACAAGCAAAAAGGCGGGAAAAGAGAACACGTGAGGAGGAGGAGGTGAAAAAGAGGCTGGAGGACGAGGAAACGCTCCGACGCCTACAGGAGGAGTACAGTGAGGTAAATGTCAATAATTGTTTTAATCTTTCCAATTTGTAGATGTATCAATGTATTCTGAATGGCGAATTATCTGGTGTTAATATACGTATAATACGTAAATATTTCTTCAGCGTCATCGACAGGATGAAATGCGTCTTCGGGAACAAATGGAAGCATTGGAGGCTGAAAAACTTGTAAGTATAGTTGTACTATCTGCCGTTTAAAATACATAATAACAAAGCATGCATGTAAAAGTACATACATTTTTAAGACGCATTGGTAGCTCAGCATGATTACCTAGATTTTTTTAAATACATAGGCAAGAGAGGATTTGGAGTCGCGGTTGCTGAAGGAGGCAGCATTACGTGAAGTGGAGAAACGTCGTCTGCGAGAGCTAGAGGAAGTAAAGAAAGAACTGCAGCGTCTTCTGGAGGAAGAGCGACAAGCAAAGCGTGACGAGGAAATAGTGCGCCAGTTACAAGCAAAGTAATAATGTGTAATACACAGCTAATTAGTATCACATAGAAAATAATCCACAGCTAATTAGTATCAAATAAAAAATTGAAAACAAACATTGTCCTATACTCCTATACAAACTCGAAATGGTACAAAATGGAAGCAAGCATGCAGTTAATTTCATATCATAGTTTTTTTGGTCATTAAAATAGGAAGCAATACAAATTAATGAACGTTTTGATTAATGTGATGCAATTGCTTAAATATACAAATGATTTTTTAAGGTTAAAAAATCTTTAGGCCTATAATTAAACAAGTTGCGAATGTATTTGACAGTCTGTTAGAGGAGGAGTCCCAGAAGCGAGCAGAGCTAGAGAGACTGCGACAGGAGCAGGAGGAATTACTCCGCCAAGAACGACAGGAGCGGGAGGGGCTGGAGGGGCTCAAGGAGAAACAGGAGCAGAACCTCAGAGAGGCCCAGGAAAGGTTACATCAGCTGGAGATTGAAAGAGAGGCTGCCAATGCTAATCTGCAGGTGCGCAGGGTTCTTTAGCAAATCTGTTATTGAATATAGCATACAATGTCAGAGTTCCGTTTACATAGAGAGACAAAATGTCTAAAGAATGAAGAAAAAATAAAGTTGTTGATTTTCATTGATTTGTGCCAAAATAAGCCTGTTTATATGAAATTTTATTTCTATACAGGAAGCAACAAGTAAGCTAGAGAAAGCAGAGAAGGACCGTACAATTGCTGAAGCCAAAATGAAGCTATGGAAGACTCCAACCATAGGTCTTGCTCGTCCAGTTCTCCCCAAAACTGATCCCTTTGTGACACACCGCGGGGAGGGTGCATTCTGCGATAAGGATTTTCTAAAGAAAGAGGGAGAGAAAAGTAGTGATCATGAAGAAAACAAAGAAACCGAGACTAATCCGCCCATAATCAAGCCGGAACGGAAGAACAAAAACGTAAAATCGGACAAAAATATGAAAATGGATACAAATGGTGAGGATCACCCAAGCAAAAGTAAAAACCAAGACACAATACAGAACGGGGACATGAATAATACAGATACTGAGAAATTCCGTGATAGTGCTTCATCTGATAAAGAAAATCTGGCATTGGAAAACCAAGTCAACCAACTCCCTGATGAGAGCCTGGAAACAGAGCTAAAGATCACCGAGTAATTCAGACTTCAGCATTCAAACTTTATCATGCCATGTCAGGAATGACATAATTTTAAGTGCATGAGGCCTTGTTCTAATTAGCTAATTTATTTAAAAATTAACTTAAAATAAAACATTTTATTAAACAATACTGAATGCAAGTTAGCATTTATTTGATTTTTTCTTCAGGGTGGGGGTTGATGAGATATGAACACAATATAAATCAAAGGGCTATTATCCTTGGCAGAATGCCATTTATACAGTGAAAAAAACTGTCAGAGGTATTCACAAGCATCAAACTTGGATTACCTTAAGTTTGCACAAGAGAGATAATTTTCAAATAAAATAAATTTTTAATATTTAATCAATGTTTTTCCACCCGAAGGCAAAAAACCTGCAGACACATATTTCATGAAAAAACACAACTACCCTATCATTGCAGAAAAAATATAGGTACATTTAAGGCATATTTTATTAACTCATTAATGTTCAGTACACTGAAACAAGCAAGAAATAGGAAAATTATTCAATATATATAAATTTGATATTCTGTGATATGAATGCACTGAAGATGACAACATTACATAATTTTAAGTTTGCAAGTTAAATGTCTTGCAATTGATTTTTTTGAGATGCCTGGATTCAGATTGGGAATTACAGGAAGAGACTCTTGGGATTGCTTAAAATTCAAGTTTCTGGCTTCTTTGTATACTTAAATTAATGTGTCCCTATCAAGTTCACACAAAACATTCAAGTGATTTTTCTAATTTTTTTTTTTATTTTATACATTTATTTAAAGGCATTAAAATTCGCCTTAAAACCACATATTTTCTTACTTTATTATGATGTATCACACGTATTTTTGTATACTGTCAATTGGACAAAAAACAAAAGTCTTTGACTTTCCTCTTTTAAAAAAAAATGTAACTTTCATTTCATAAAATGTAAGTGATATCTGCTTTTTGCTTTACACTGAAAAGGACAGTACAGAATGATTTGCAAAATATCATTCTCAAGCACACTGAACACAATATTTTGCATTGCTCTCTTAACCACAATTTCACTGAAAATTTTCCTCATGAAACAATATCCTGTGATTCAATCACCATATATCAAAAGAAATCAGCAGCCTTGGGTCTTTTGGGGAGCTGTAATAGATTGTCTGTGAGGGACTGCACATCCCCACCCTCTCTCTTACTGCCCGGTGTCCGCACTGCTGACGGGGTGCTATTTTTAGGGGTCCGACTGGGGGTAAGACTGATAGGTGTCTTACTCCCAGGAAGTCTGTTGGAAGGAGAGGGGGTGTAACTGGCACGGAGGGCTTTATCTGTATTGGACCGGATTCCGAGTCGTGAGTGAGCTAGTTTCTGAGCAGCTGGTGACATGGAGCTTATCCTGTCTGATGTACTACGCCCAAACTTGGGGGAAAAGGGTCTGAAAAAGATTAGATGTGTACAAGTTAACAGATGGATGATCTGAATGTTTTCAAGATACATAATTTTTTTGTTAATTTATAAAGTAAAACCTGCTATATAGTGAAGTGCAAGAAATTAATTACCATCATCATTCAAAAATGAACACTTACGATGCTAATCTTGCCTGAACACTGCGGAGAGCCTTTTCCTTCTTGTCTCGATGAGATTTGCTGGCTTTTTCTGCTAAATCCATTGCTAACTGATCCCTTTTGGGAATTTCTGGAATCTAATCGAAAACAAATCCTCATAACTAAAAGTTCAAAATGAATATCAGGGATATATGTAATACTTTTTTTCATGATGAATACTGGTTCATGACCATTTCCAGCTTAGTTTTGGACTTTCAGTAAGGCGAGGCATTCTCGACGTTACATAATTAGCTTCTGAAATTTACACAGCTTTCCTTCACTGTTGAAATATACATAACATGGAATAGAAATTTGGGCAAATGCCAATTAGTGTATTGAACAACCAATTACATTGTTTCATCCTGCAAAGAGGTGGAACTTAAGTAGTCTCATCCTTGTCAACAACAATTTAAAGTTCCTGATGTTATTAATTTCTTAACCAATGAGAATCTATTCGCCATTTGATGGGCAGTAACTTAAAACATGTAACGCCAAGAATGCCACGCCTTACTGAAAGTCCAAACTAAGCTGGAAATAGTCCTATTAGTAATACATCTTATTAAACAAGATGCAGAATATCATTTAGTCATACTGATATTTAAAAAAAGACACTTACTTTGAATGCTGGTCCAGATCCAATCATTGGAGTTTCCCCTCCTTCCAGTCTGAATGGTGTACTTTCAATTTCTCCCCATGTCATCAGAGGAGACTCATCAACTCCTGGAGCTGGGGAGGGAGTAGCTACAAATCCATAGCCATTGACCCGTGGGGACTCGGCCGGAAGTATCTCCTTGCCATCGTGTCCTATCTTCCCCTGATTGATAATGGCCCTTGCTGTGGCAGCATCTTTTATCAGAGCCTGATTTTTATTCTTGTTCCAGGGACACTGTGTAAAGCGTGTGTTCTCGTGAACTATTTTTCTGGGTTTTTGCTTCTGAGCATCTATGATTTCTTGTGCACTGAAGTCTGCACCTAAAAGAAGAAATGGCATTTTTCAATATAACCTGAATATTTGTGTATAAAATATTTCAACAAATTACTTATATCCATATGTATGCCTTTGACTTTTATCTTAGAGTCATTCAAGTGTTCAGGTGTACCTGGGACAATAAACTTACTAGGACTTATTGGTATATGTATCACATATCACATTTGAACAAAATTTCATCAAACGTATATCATATATGAATGTTTTGAAACATGGATGTCTGAAAGATTCCATATTCCAATACCCCCAGTCCCAAACATATGACCAGAAATCACACCCAGACTTACCATCAGGAACATACATCAGATTGTTCCTGGCCTGGTATTTCCACGTGTCTACACCAGCCTGAGGAGCTTCTATGGCTGCCTGCTGTTCTATGCTTGGCAGTGCAAGTCTATTTTCTTCTTCCTGTTTTTAAGCCAATAAAAAAATTTAATCCTAAAAATGTTTATCTTTCATGCAAATTAAGTCTAAGTTCATTTGAAAAAAATTTACCAAATACAAACAATTTTCAATGACATATCATAATTGACAGCATCATTTTTCAGGAAGTACATGTATATAAAATGCATCACAGTGTGAAATCTATTTCTTAAAGTTAACATTGTTGATTACTTTCATTTAATGATATCATAAAAACTAATCTGTACTTTTTTTTAATTTCAATTTGTTAATCATGCAATTTTCTATGTCAGTAATTATTAAGATAAAATCCTATGAACAAGTTCGAAATGCTAGAACATAATCAAATATCAAGATAAATGTACTACATGTACATCATTGTATCTTACTTGTTTTCTACTACTTTCATTCTCAAACAGCCAGGCATGTTTTTCTTTGTGTTGTTTTTGTGTTTCTTCTAAAATCTCAGCAAATGATGCATTGTCTTCACTTGTGTTTTTTGACATGTACGAATCCAAAGATAATTTTGGTTGTTCTGTTAAAAAAAATATTTTGAGTTCAAAATTAATTCAGTACAATTTGTAATGCCCTTTCATTACATTGTTCATTTTAAAATTAGTAGTCAAATACAGTAAAAATTTGTCATCAAGTTGCAGATGTTTTTGGCTTTTTAGCACTTTCCCTATGTGACATCATATATTTCAAGGTTAATAAGTAATTCTGAAAACTGAATTTAATGCACATTTACCAATATTCTCATCTGACCAGTTTTTGGAATTTTTGGTCATTCATTTATGCCATCAAAAAATCGCATATTATGTTACCCTAGGTTTCTTTTTCCTTTTAGAAAATAACAATTAAAAAAAATAATCAATACATACTTTTGGTGCTTGTTTCATCTTTCTCCTCTTTATTTTTCTCTTCATCTATTTTTTCTGATGTTGGTCCATCGTTTTGTCTAATATCCGGGGTTTCAAATGTTGCAGGTGAATTACCTGTAAAAAATCAAATGTAATGGCATAAACATACATATATATTGACAATTTAGCATAAAAGGGATATTATTTCCAACTTATTTGCAAATTTTATTTACTTACAAGAAAAGCAAAAACAAGGACATGCATCATTTCTTTTGGGTACTATTTATATCAAAATATATTAATGAAAATGTACTCTTATTACCTACAATTTAGTATATCATGAAAGTAGGTTCATTCTTAACTAAATGGCAAATTTTATTGATAAAGAAAAAGAAGGATATGTAATATTTTCTTTATTTTCAGTATCATCAAAATCTATCAATGAAATTTTGTTCTTTAACTTACAATCTGTCCGGTTTGTGGTGGGCCTTCCACCAGTAAACTTCAGCTGAAACTTCCGTAATTTTACGAGGTCATTTTTTTCTAGAGCTTCAAAGTATTCTGCTTTGGATTTTAGGTCAGGCAGATCAGGAAAAAAGTCTTCTTCTATTATGTGTTCAACATCCTGAAAATCAGAAAAAAAATTATAATGACAGTCAGGGGTGAGACAGTCACTTAGGGTGTGGAACATCCCCCTCCCCCCTAACAATTTTTTTTTCATTGTAAATCTAGGATCAAGTCACCCTTTTGTTATTTTTGTATTCTAATATGCACTACATGCTATCAATAATGTACCCTTTTGTGATTTACAGTCAACTCGTACACAAACCGAGTCGTACACAAACCGAGTCGTACACAAAAAGTCAACTCGTACACACAAATCAGAAGTCAACTCGTACACAAACTATTGCCATTCGTACATAGGTTATCCTACGTGATTTAAGGTATAGTTCTCCCCAGCTTTATAAAAATTGAGGAGTCAACTCGTACACAAAGGTTTTTCTTGTGCATTTTAAATTCTTAATCAACTTTATGCCTCTGATTGCGCAGATTGTTTCTGTTTTGTTTTGTTTTTTTAATAAGATTTTCCCGGCATAATTAAATCTGAGGCGTCATCTCCTATACACACTTTTGTTATTTAGATATATATATATATATATCTAATACATAACCAGGGATTTCATATACTATATAGATCTAAGTCCCTGATATAACTGAGAAGTCCGGTTTTGGGTTTTTTTTATTCTGTGGATTTAATTGTAAATATATTTTATATCTTTAGAGACAACTAAATTTGATTTCTAATTATTAAACATCATCGCAACAAGATATGTAAATTTTACATTTAAAAATTATTTTTCTTTTTATAAATGTAAGGATTATTTGTGGATATAAATAAAGCGTGATATACTTTAGATAGGAAAGTTTTTATGGCAACATAAGGAATATCGTTATATACATAATTTAGGTTAGATAGTAAATGCGATCAAAATACATCGTTAGATATTAATGGTATATCGTATCATTGCAAACAATTTCAAAAAAAAAAAATCAATTTTTTTTTTTTTTTCTAATTAAAAAGACAGTTATACGGCAGGATAAACATGTCTCTCGTAATCTCTTAAGAAATGAAGAAAGACTCTTTGAACCAAATTAGGAGCATTTCGTCATTAGTGTTTGCCGCAGATCCAACAGATTCAAGAAATCACCGCGCTTGTGTTGGTTTAACAATAATTGTATGAACACCTAATAAGAGAAGCCACGGTTGAATCGGGTTGATTTAAAATGTCAAACCACTTACGTATTTTTGAAAAAAAAATCTAAGTCAAGCCACTAACGTCTTTTTGAAAAAAAAATCTAAAAAATAAATAAATAATTATAACAAAATTCTTTAATATTCTGATTTTTTTCTGGATTATACATTATTCACATAGAACTAATTCCTAACAGTTTTAAATAAAACCCAAACAAGTTGAATCAATTTAGTATTTATCAAAAAAAAATTAAAGAAGAAAAGTAATACTTCTCTTTAGTCGCTTTTATTATTTTTTTTTATAGATTAAACATTATTCGTGTAGGATTAATTCATAACAATTGTATATAAATGTTGTGTACGAGTTGACTTCTAGTTTGTGTACGAGTTGACCTTTTTTTGTGTACGAGTTGACTTTTTGTGTACGACCTGGTTTGTGTACGACTCGGTTTGTGTACGACTTGACTGGACACCCCCTTTTGTCTATATATGCTGTTTTTAAATATATCATTTTCAACAGATGTATTAGTAGGCATTTGTACACATTACTGCAGGTGACTGCAGTCGACCATGTTCAGAAAAAATATATTTGCATCATTGAGATCATCAGATGCCATGGGAATTGTTGTATATCTATCGGATTAAAAATCGGAGAGGGCTACATTATAACAGCTTAGTATAATTAACAAGATATGTGTGCTCTTTAGCAGTCACACCATCTGACACTGACTGACAGTCTAACAAAATGCAATTAACTGAACGAGTTATTAAAACAGTTAGTCAGTAAAATTCTAGAGTAAAATTTACTATCTGACAGAGACCTTGTACTACAAGATGTAGGACTATAAAGAAAACAAAAACTACAAACTGAACAATGAACCGTGATTATATCTATAACCAGAAACATTTTTGATACTAATTAAATAATTTCCCCCTGTTTTTTATCTCCTGTAATTTAATTCTTTCATAAGTATTGCTACTACACACACACAAAAAGTAAATACCTTTGTGTATGTGTCTTCGTCCAATATTTTCTGTGGTTTCTTCCTCTGTTTAACAGTAATTGAACTTGCAGGAATAACGCTAAGTGGGTCTTTCTTTTCTAAGGCCATTCGTTCATACCTTTTACGTCTGATCAGTACAAATACTATTCCTCTATGTTGTTTTGCTTTTCAGTCAACTCACATCGACGTCACTGGTGCGCTTTGAAGTTGAAAACGTTTCAATCACGTTGATGCATTCTAAAAGTTAACATGGTAGCGACTTGTTCTCCGGATTGTGAGTTCAGCTGAGTAAAAAAAATATGATTAGACTCTGAATCTACACAGGTGCGAATGTCAAAGACAAGAAAAAATACTGTCAAGTAACTTGTCCACTTAGCCTAGTTTAAAAAAATGTTTTCATACACAGGGATATCTCGAGTTTGTCTAAATTCACCACTAAAATATATGTTTTACTCAGTTCAGTCTGATGCTTCAATTTAACTGCCTTACGTGGATAACATATATATTTAACATATATGATAGAATTAGCAATCAACCGGAAGTATATACAAAGAAAACAGTAATTCATGAAAACTGCATATAAAATAAGTTTGTTGTTTAAGGTCCCTCTCGAGAATTTCTTACTCATATTATCGGGACGCAACCACTTGCCGATGGAGATCTGCAAATGTCCTAATCATAATTTAAATTAATACTCGGCACTCAAGGCCAATGAGCAGTAATAGATCTTTTTCGTGCCATCAGCTGCTGCGGCGACACGGGACCTCGATTTAAAAGTTTCATCCGAAGGACCTGTCTCCACATCCCACAGTGGGGTTCGAACCCGCGACTTAAGGTTCATCTCCTTACTCCGCGACTCCATAGCAGACGGGTGCATTATTTAGAGCGTCTGCTCTAGAGTCGCGAAGTAAGGAGTTGATCCTTGTAAACGTCGCGGGTTCGAATCCCACTGTAGGACGTGGAGACAGGTCCTTTGGATTAGACCGGAGTTGCGTGTCGCAGTAGGCGCTGGCACAAAAAAGGTCCCTCACAGCTCAATGGCCCCGAGTGCTGTGCATAGGACAAAATTTGTGGCTCTCCATCGCAGACGCTCTAATCACGGCGACTAAATAGGTAAGAAACAAGGATTGTCATTTGAAAAAAAATCATTTTATACTACAAATATTTTATTTTAAATAAATATTTACTTTGAAAAAAAACAACATAAGCCGAATAGTTTCAGTATTTTCTGGAAACAGCATTCTTGCTCAATATTTATTTCTTACTAACAAGTCTACATGACAATTAAACCTATAGATTAACAAAAAGCCTATGGCCCTTATGGTTCACCTGAGTATCATGCAACAACCTCTAACAATTGAATATGATTTGGGTTTAAAACTACTGGCCATGAAGTTCACAATTTTGGAAGAGACACCCTTGCTCATCATCATTATGTATTCAATTCATTCGAATAATATGTAATCCCCAGTATCCCTGACCCAGAGGCCCTGAAATTAACCGTGTTGGAAGAGGGACCTTTCTTCATTATAAATATGTACTTAGATCATTGGCATATTACCCAGGAGTAAAGGAAAAGAATTTCAAAGAATTCATGCATTTTCACTATATCAATATAATCATGCAAGTGACCAATGACAAGGTAAGTAAATTTACGAGTTCCATTTTTATTGAAAAAGCAGCTGTCAGTGATATCAAAAAGGCCGGACTTTATCGAGGGGAATGGTTGTGTATAAAGTTGAAACGTCGTAAGTTTTTAAGCTGTTGATTTTGAAGAAATTTTGTGATTTCAAATTGTCCAAAAGTTCCTTGGAATTTTTAAGTATCCACATCTAATTTACACCACTTCTTTGGAATACTAAGTATTCAAAATAATCAAAAGTCACATATGATTATGAAGAATTTCTTCCTTAGAAAGGAAACTATGAATAAAAGTTGGATTACCACTTTTAGAATTAAATCCATGTTCTTCTAAAATACAATTTATGTAATGAGCCTTACAAACGAAGACAATGTTATTACGTGCTTTGTCGGCAGGGACCAGAACGTACTGATCATGTAATCTATTTAATTCTTTTTTCACTTCTGGATTATTGAAGACAGAATGATAGATGGTTTTCATATTGCCCCTCAATCTTTTAATACGTGATTTTAACATGGATACATTTAATCCATTCAGAGAAAGTGTCAACGTCTTCTTTTTTATATCTTGCCCATTGTCTGGCGTAATCTTCAATAGAATCCATAATATTTATGAAATTCAGACTCCAGTTGAAGGATCGCGGTTCCCTATATTTAGGACTTTTCAAAATGAGTAATTTAAGGTCCTCATTGTTAACTTTATTTACGTCACCTGTAATGACGTGTCCAACAGGACTATAGTTATAGGGCGAAGAAGAACATGAACATGATGGAGGATTACTATAATGTAAGTATGTTTCACATACTCAATATCCAGGCCATGCAAAGTTTTTTTTTTGTAATTGAAAAGTTTGGAAGCAATAGTCGATGTATATTTGTAGGAAATACAAGGTGTAGTCTTTAATTTGAAATATAGTGGAATACAAGATTGGACCCATTTGTGATTAAGAATATTACTTATATTAACCGCGTCAATTCCTTTATTGGTATATTGAAGTATAAGGAAAAGACAGATCGCGTTAGCTGCATTTTCTTCCGTGAAACATAGGGGTTTAAAAGCCTATGATTTGCAATATCCATAATCACAGATTCGAACCTATATTCTGTTATCGAGGAATAAAAAAATGGGCTTTCCTGGACCTTTTCAAGAAGACTATTTAAAAGTTTCAAAGGGACAGAGTAAAGTTTGATACGAATATGATGTAGACCCAACTGTTGATTTACATAAGGTCGCAATGAATCAAAAGAGACATCGTATATTAACGGTTTACTGTAAGAAAGATGCCCTTGACTACGCTTACGTCTATGTGTACAGTGTATGGTTAAAAAGTCCCATCTCATTTACATTGTTATACTGTGGACTGGAAAGATTTCCAACACTTCCGACATTCTCGTTGCATCTACAGGGAAAGGCTGTCCCTTAAGTTTTCTAATCCAAAATTCTTCTCAAAGATAAGATTATAAAAGAACATTTATTTTCATAATACACGTGCATGACTAATACATCCTAACACCAGAATTCTTCAATCATTGACCATAAATTTCACAATTTAAGTAGGAGTCTCAATGTTTATGATATAATGAAATATATAGAGATAACGAACAGCATTCAAGCTCAAAAGTCCATAAAACAATACAAAATAGGAGCTGAGCAAACACAGACCTTCAAAACCTCAAAGTTAGGATCAGGTACAATGGAGGAGTGAGCAGCCCCTGCCGACCGGTCACACCCGCTGTGTTCCTTGTCATGATCGGGAAATAACGCAAAAATCCGTTGTCAATTAAGGGTGTAAATAAAGGTTTAACAATTAGTTGAAAACGTCATTCAGCATTTGACTCAATGTTAAATTGTATTTGCTGACAAGGTCATTGCATCGACCATAGAACTTTAAACAAAACTGCTGATATTCTTGTTTCATTAACTTGTTTGTCAATAACTTATACTAGTAATTACCTCGTTTAAAAAATCGTTCATACGTAGTGCATGCTCTTGCGTATCGAATCAATTGAGATATAGATCTATAAATCCCGTATGCAGGTTTCCAAAAGTTTTTTTTTAGTATCCTCATCTAATTTACACCACTTCTCGAATATATTGTTGCACAGTATTCTTGAAGTTTACCCTTCACTATACTATTAATATCTTGCTGAGGAGTAAAGAAAGAGGCTTGGTTGAACATTTACTAGAACCTGCTATGTATCATATCAACATTTGACAACTCGTTCTCAGGTATAAAGAAATATTATTTTTGAGCGCTAATATTACTATAGTTTTAAAAGATTTGGCCTCACCTCACAAACCACAGTTGGACAGAGACCACAAAATAACAGTTTTATTCCCTTTTCCCCATTTTCTATAAGTCTAAAGACAAAATATGACTAAAACTGGTTTTAGGATAACAGAAAAAAGGTTGAAAAATATTCAAAAGATAGCGGCCGACAGATAGTAATGGGTACCCTGAATGACCCATGTGAACTAAAGAATTACAACAGAAAGTGACATGAACTCGTGGCATTATAAAGTAATGGAGTAGTATCAGCTTAAAAAGACAACATGTATCTATCAAAATAGAAAAAATATATGTAAAAAACCTGTATATAATACAATAATATCTGCACGTAACGTCAAAGTATCATTGTATAATGAAAAAAGTATCAGCATATTATGTCACAGTAACAAAATACAATGAAGAAGTATCATCATAATATGAAGGTTATTTCGTGACATTGGACTAAGACAATAACAGAAACACACTTGATCAGATTAACAACAGTAAAAGGTTTAAGAAGTCTGAAAATACAGTCAATAAAAACAAGACTTTATTTGTTTTGGCGTGCTTGTCATGGCCATTTAATAATAAATTAGATATATCACAATGTATGCGCCGATCATTATGATAATATTGCAGCATAGGTAAATGCATATAGATAATGAGCAAGAGAAATACCATCTTGATCCAAGGAGTCTGGAAAAAACAGTACCCCCCGGAGACAGCATTCTTTGCAAAATTATGCCATCTAGACAATCCCTATAATCATATTTCTACCGGCATAATCTATTGCATTTTCCAGACTAAAATAAAACGATCCCTTGGCCTACATGTTAACTTTCGTGTTTTAATAAGATAAAATAGGAAGGATTAATGCACAATACATTTTAGTCAAATAAGGCGTGGGTTATGTCTGTGCTTTTAAAAACCATTCATCATAAAACACTAGGTGTATACACGTAAATAAGAAACTGTATCACAATACAAGTTTAAGAATTTTGATGTGAATTCCGGCGGAGACATAACTCGTTTTTCTGCCCATTTCAAAGGGCGATAATATTGTGTTATTTCTCATCATTAGTTTATCGAAGGGTTGTTCTATTTAAACCTTATCATTGCCTTCCTCAAACAACGTGACCGTCCCGATAGAGATTCCGTGGATTGATCTCCCGTTATGACTATATTAGGGCGCCAAACAGGATGAATCATATGACCATTGGGTGGACCTTTTTCCGGCGGTTTTCTTAACAATCACGGGTGCTGTGTGTAAAAAGTTACAACTCAGAACTATGCATGACGAGGCATGTCATCTTTA